ATTCTCCTCCAATCACAGGTCGTGTCGTGCTATGACGTCATCACTTACCCCATCTACCTATTGGTGCAGAAGCCGTGGATCCGTCTCAAAGAGTCCTCGCGACCCAAAGCGCGCCCTCTGGACCCGCGCTCGCCGTACAGCGCGTGGACCCGCGTGTCGGCGCAGTCGCCCACCGAAGGCCACTTCATCGAGGAGTGCCGAACGGTGGACGAGCTCTTCTCGCGCGCCGTCCAGCAGTTCGGCGACAAACAGTGCTTCGGGTCGCGCGACGTCTTGAGCGAAGAGTTGGAGAAACAGAAGGACGGCAAGGAGTTCCGCAAACTCCTGCTCAGCGACTACCACTTCCACTCCTACCGCCAGATCGACCGACGAGTGGACGCCGTGTGCCGCGGCTTCCTCGCGCTCGGAGTGCGGCCGCGCAATAATGTGGTCATCTTCGCCGAGACGCGCCTCGAGTGGATGCTGAGTGCGCAGGCGCTGTTCCGGTTGGGCGCCACAGTCGTGACGCTGTACGCGACGCTGGGCGACGACGCCGTCGTGCACGGCATCAACGAGACGGAAGTGACCATCGTGGTCACCAACTACGACCTGTTGTCCAAACTGTCACGTGTTCACAACCGCCTGCCGCACGTCAAGACCGTGGTGTGGATGGAAGGCGCGCGCCGCCCCGACGCGCTCACCGCCTTCCCCGCGTCCGTTCGCTTGGAAGCGTTCTCTGCGGTGGAGGCGTTGGGCGAACGCAGTCCTGACCTGCGGGGCGAGAAGGCGCGCGCGGAAGACACGGCTGTGTTGATGTACACGTCGGGGTCGACGGGAATCCCGAAAGCCGTGCAAATCACTCACAAGAACATCCTGCACGCCATCCGCGCCTTCTTCACCATCGCGCACGCGCTCTCACCCCAAGACGTGTACCTCGGCTACCTGCCCCTCGCGCACGTGTTGGAGTTGGCGGCGGAGCTGTTCTTCTTCTCGGTGGGCATGACTGTGGGCTTCGGCACTCCGCTCACGCTCACCGACAAGTCGACGGGCATTAAGAAAGGCGTGAAGGGCGACGCGACGCTCTTGAGGCCGACCGTCATGACTGCGGTGCCGCTCATTCTGGACAGGATCAGGAAAGGCATCCGCGAGCAGGTGGACAGCAGCGGTCGCTTCTCGCGCGCGTTTTTCGACTTCACGATTGAATACAAGAAGTTTTGGACGCAAAAAGGCTTCAAAACAGTGAGTGATGGATCACGTGACCTTGTTTACTAATCACACGTTTCCCAACAGCCAATCATCGACTTCCTCGTGTGCCGCAAGATCAGCGCTCTTCTGGGCGGCAGAGTTCGCCTTCTGGCCGTTGGGAGCGCTCCGCTCGCGCCCGAGACGCACGAGTTCATCCGCACGTGTCTCAACGTGTCTCTCCTTCAAGGTCAGCCATAATGACAACAATGACGCAATGCTAACCCTGATTGCCCTTAGGCTACGGATTGACGGAAACGACGGCTTCGGCCACTTTGATGGAGTTGAACGACCTCTCTGTGGGCCGCGTGGGGCCGCCGCTAGAGGGCGTGCAGCTGAAGCTGGTGGACTGGCCGGAGGGCAACTACCGCGTGCAGGACCGGCCGCACCCGCGCGGCGAGATCGTGTTGGGCGGCGACTCCATCACCAATGGCTACTACAAGAACGCGGAGTTGACGCGCGAGTCCTATCGTCTGGAGGACGGCGTGCAGTGGTTCTACACGGGAGACATCGGCGAGATCCTGGAGGACGGCAGTGTGCGCATCATCGACAGGAAGAAGGATCTCGTGAAGCTCCAGTTCGGCGAATACATCTCTCTCGGAAAGGTAGGGAACAGCTGTTGTGCTAATACTGTGCTAATCACGTGACTCGCAGGTGGAGGCGGAGCTGAAGTCGTGTCCGTTCGTGGACAACATCTGTTGCTATGGCAACTCGTTCCACTCCTATCTGATCGCGCTCATCGTTCCCAACGAGAAGCAAATCCGACTTTTGGCGCAAAAACTGGACAAAAACGCGCTTTCCTTCCGCGAGCTGTGCGCAGACGCAGAGGTCGCGCGCCACGTGTTCGCCGCCGTCGACGCGTTCGGCCGGAAGTCGCGGCTCCTGAAGAACGAGATGCCGTCGAAGATAAGGTTGTGCGCGGAGGAGTGGCTGCCGGACTCTGGTTTGGTGACGGCGGCGCTGAAACTGCGGCGGAAGAACATTCAGGACTTCTATCAACAGGACATCAATCTTCTCTACAAATTGGACTCAAAGTCCACTTAATGTTTAATAAATTATTGTTGTTTTAATAGTATTTGCGTTGACTCTGCGCTGACGTCATCATTCCGTAGAACTGCTGCTGATTAGCGAAGTCCACCTCTGCGAGAGAATTGGACTCAAAGTCCACTTAATGTTTAATAAATTATTGTTGTTTTAATAGTATTTGCGTTGACTCTGCGCTGACGTCATCATTCCGTAGAACTGCTGCTGATTAGCGAAGTCCACCTCTGCGAGAGAGAAACAGCCAATCAGAGGTGCGAACGCAACTTCAAAATACTCACTCCCGATGTTCGGCGTGTAAGTGACGCACGCGCTCTTGTAGTTGGCCTGCGGGGGCGGGGAGCGCGACTCGTGGCTGCGTTTGCGGCCGACGTTGGGTTTGGGCTGGAAGGCGGCTTTGAAGGGCTGTTGCGGGGGCGGAGCTCTCTGCGCGAAGAACTGCTGGTTGAAGGGCGGCGCGAAGGGGAGGGGTTGGAGCTGCTGCTCCTGCTGGAAGAGCGCCGAGTCGGTGGTCCACTGGAGGTCGCGGTTGCGTCTGCGCACGCCGTCTTCGTTCAGCACTTTCTTCAACTGCGAGAACAGAATGTGTTTCTGTTGTTTCAGTTCTGAAATGAGAACACAATTAGTCGCTCTCTCCCCCTCTCGACCGCCACTCACTCTCCACTTTGGACTCGAGCTTCTCGAACTCGAGCCGAATCTCTTTCAAAGACATTTTCATTTCGACGCGTTTCCGCTCTTCCGCGCGCTTCCGCTCCTCCAACGAGATCGAGGTCTCCAT